TGCAATACAAAGCAGAGAGAAATAAAAAAGAAGCATTTTAGAATTGTTTTCTAAATGCCACTATTTTTCCCTCCTCCATTACATTTTTTACATTCTAAAATGGAATTTGTCTGTTCCTTGATACTGAAAAAATATACATGCTTTTAAACTGTAGAATAGATCTATCAAATAAAATAATTCATGATATACAAAAATAGTTTTACAGGAGTCTTACAAAGGTAAATTTAATCCTACCCATTAAATACCATCTTAAAGAATGTACACAAAATTTCTGTTCAAGTCCTCCCGCATGAAAGTTTTTATCCACATAACTAAAATTTTACAAAGCATTTGATGCTGACTTTTTAGTTCATACTAGCACATTAGAGAAAAAAAGGCTCCTTTGTGTAAAGTTTTGTGTAATGAAAAAAATGGAGATGAATAGAAAAAGAGAACGTGCTACCCAAAATCCACCTGTTTTGGCAATTTTGAAGAATTATAATTGAAAACATGTTCATATTACAATTACTTGTAAGGTAATTCACATAATCATAAACTAGATGAACAGCAACTTAAGCAGGCAATTCTAAAATTAAAAGCATTCAAAGAATTTCCAGTAAGCTGAAACACTCCTAGCACTTACAGATAGCAGAAACTACAGAAAGAACAGGAGCAGTTGCACTCCACACCAGAATTTTTGCTTTTACAGCACAACTCCCCATGTGCAACCAGCTGACACTTTATTTCACACTCTACTATGTTCCCTTGCTGTATATTTCAGTTGAAGTGGCCTTCCCTAAGACTAACATTTCTTAAACTGGAAGATTCATTTTTTTAGAAGAGACAGGAAGCATACTCAAGAGAATACAGCTGTTCTGAAGGGCAGAAAACTCAAATGGGACAGGAGATACTGCTGGGAGAAGACGCCATAGGACTGGTGAACACAGTGGAGGATAATAGTGACAGGGAATATACCTGCAATGACAAGCCCACTGACCAGACAGCACAGTTAGTAAAAGCAAAATAAAACCCCAACAAGTGGAGGCCATGCCATGAATTCATTCAGCCCCTTCGCAATCAGCATGGGACCAGTGCCCAAACATGGCTGAAGTGGTGGCTCCCTGAGATATCCAGAGTTTTTTTTCGAAGAAGCTCCCTACCACCTACACATTCGGTACTTCTCACGTATCTCCAGCATATGAGTGCCCTCACTCGGGAACATCTGTAGGTACTACTTAGGAAGAATGTGTACATTATGGGACATACATCATAGCAGCCTTCCTGTACCTAAAAGAGCCTACATGAAAGCTGGAGAGGGACTTCTTACAAGGGCATGTAGTGACAGGACAAGGGGGAACGGCTTCAAACTGAAAGAGGGCTGGTTTAGATGAGGTACTAAGAAGAAATTCTTCACTGTGAGTGACACGTACAGGACAATCAGGGGATCAGGTGCAGACAGCACAGGTTGACCAACCTGATCTCCTTTTATGACCAGGTGTCCCACCTAGTGGATGAGAAAGACTGTGGATAAAGTCTACCTGGACTTCAGCAAAGCTTTTGATAAGGTTTCCCACAGCACTCTCATGGAGAAACTGGTGTCTCATGGCTTGGACTCTTTATTCATTCTTCACTGAGTAAAATACTGGCTGGATGGCCAGGCCCAGACAGTGATGGTGAATGGTGAATTCAGCTGGTGGTTGGTGTTCCCCAGGGTTCTGTTTCGGGGTCAGTCCTGTTTAATATTAATCTTTATCGATGATCTGGATGAGTGGGTTGAGTGCACCCTCAGTAAGCTCACAGATGACACTCAGTTGGGCAGGAGTGTTAATCTGCTCTACCCTTCTGGTAGGAAGGTTCTGCAGAGAGATCTGGACAGACCAGACTGATGGGCTGAGGACAACTGTTCGAGGTTCAATAAGACAAAGTGCCAGGTCCTACACTTGGGTCACAACAACCACCTGCAGTCCTGCAGGCTTGGAGAAAAGTGACTGGAAAGCTGCCCAAGGGAAAAAGAACCCAAGGGTGCTGGTCATCAGCTGGCTGAACATGAACGAACAGTGTGCCTGGGTGGCCCAGAAGACCAATGGCATCCTGGCCCGTATCAAAAAGAGTGTGGACAGCAGGATCAGGGAAATGATTGTCCTATGAGGAGCAGCTGAGGGAGCTGGGATTGTTTAGTCTGGAGAAAAGGAGGCTCAGGAGAGACCTTATCACTCTCTACAACTACCTGAAAGGAGGTTGTAGCCAGGTGGGGATTGGCCTCTCCTCCCAGGCAACCAGCAACAGGGGAAGAGAAAATGGCCTCAAGCTGCTCTGGGGGAGGTTCAGGTTGGACATCAGGAAGAATTTCTTCACTGAAAGGGTGGTTAAGCATTGGAATGGGCTGCCCAGGGAGGTGGTGGAGTCACCATTTCTAGAAGTGTTGAAGAAACGACTGGATGTGGCACTTGGTGTTATGGTTTAGTTGACATGGTGGTGTTCAGTCAAAAGTTGGACTCGATGATCTTGGATCTTTTCCAACTTACATGATTCTATGACGAAACACCAGAACAGGTTGCCCAGAGAAGTTGTGGATGCCCCATTCCTGGAATTGTTCAAGGCCAAGTTGAATGGAACTCTGAGTAACCTGGTCTAGTTTTAGATGTCTCTGCTCATTGCAGGGGGGTTGGACTAGATGACCTTTGAAAGGCCCCTTCAGACCCAAACTATTCTATAATTCTAAGATTTTAAACATAAAAATGCATTTCGTAACAGAAAATATCCTCATCTCCTAGCTCAGTTTCTTTCTCAGACATAATTTTTGATTTTGAAACATGCGAACCTGAAATAATGAAAGTATGCTATCGTGCAATATTTTTCTTATGAATTGTAAAAATATAAGCATTGTAAACAAATTCTATATATTAAGTAATTTTGCATATTTGGAGAACTTAAAAGATTGTGCTATTTCAAGAGAAATAAATTGCGGCTATTTACATCTGAAGGAAACCCTAAGAAGACCTAAGATGCCAGCAGAGGAAGCAGAAATAAGATTGCTGAGTCTCCAATTTGAGAAGCTCTACAAAGCTGGCAATAGGCAGTTCCACAGGAGGATGAGAAAGGGAAGCACAGGTCAGATGCTCCCAGGCTTTCATTAACAAAGTCAGGGAACACCAGAACTCATTCCCTGACTTTCTTCTCTCTTGCACGAAAATAGGAAAAGAACAGAAGATGTTCTTTACAAAAATGCTAAATCATAAAGAACTGAAAGATGACAAGCTATTAGCTGTAATCTTTTCAGAACTATGTACATAAGATCCATAATTTACCCAAATTAAAAGTTCCTTTCACCTTCTCCCAATTTTGCTTCATCTGCAAATTATGCTTTGTAGAATTCAGTTTTGTACATTATTTGAAGCTGAGCTCTTGGAGAAGCAGTTTCAAGAAAATCTAAACTCCATGGGCCTCATCAGATCTAAGTATTGCCACATCCATGTCAAGTTACTCTTCTCAGCTGTATATGGAAATATGTTTCAACAGCTTATCTTCAAAACTCCATGCACCTTAAAAACACTGCTCTTCCAACAGCTTAGATGTCCCACATCCCACAGGATTATACCCCAATAACCTCATTTCTCGTAAAGCTATCTATAGAAAATATGCACACAGGTTCTGTTCCACTCTGAGATAAAAAAAAGGTGATAGATTTCAGATACTCAAGTCAACAGGAAAAAACTGTCTTGTGGACATGGAACATTGCTGTCTCTTTCCTGAACACGTGCCTACGTTAAGCTGCAATGCCAAATCAAGAACGCTTATTCAACTTTTTCTTATTGTGGAAAAAAGGCAGGTATTTTATCTCCACTAAACTGAAGAGAGGCTTTATTATCTCAGTTTGTAGGGAAATTATTGTCGTAGTATGGTCATCAAGTAAACACTTCCAATACACATGCAAGACGGATTACAGCATCAAACATCTGCACAGCATAGAAATGCGGATTACAGATGCTGTGGTCACACAGTGCCCCAGTTATACCAAGGACATACAAGGCACTTCACCGTATGAACACCCAAAAAAAAAAATTCCCAGTGAAAATTATATACCAGTCCCCAGAATTTTTCATTTTCCTTTAGACTGAGGCAATTAAAACTCTCAAACTCACAGAACAAACTCACCATTTCCATTTTTTGCCACTGTAATTAGTACATGATTACATGAGAAAATACTGCTTTATATTTTATACAAATCTCACACTGGATCAGACATCACAGTGAATTTAGTAGAATTAACAAAGTCTGTTTACCCAAAGTGTCTTTAGAAAGACACTGTTACCTGCTTAGCTGCAGCAACAGTGTGCTGAACCACGTACACCTCACATTTTCTCAAATCAATCATTATTTCAGGCTCAAAGAGACAACCTTTAGAAAAATCTGATTTTAGCATATCTTCAGTGGTCTTGAACAGACTTCAAGAATAATAAAACCACTCCTGGAATTCAGTAGTGAGTAAGCTTTAACTAATACCGTAACAGGCATCTAACTTGAACTCTAAGATTTTGCTCCACAACCAAAATAACTAACAAAAGTCACTGTTCTAGACCACAGCTGAAAAACAAATGTTTCAAGACTGCAAACACAACTGCAAAATGTATCTCCTACACAGACTTATCCTGGGATAATGGTTCAGACTACTAATAAATGTAAATTTGAATTTTCTCCATATGCCTCCCCCCAAAAAAACCTTTCTACAGAAGAAAATAATTTAAAAAAATGATCTGACAGTCATAAACAGTCTTATGTTTTGTTTATCTTTGTATCTACCTAAGATGCAATGTAAGAAAGTTAGAAAGAGAAAATGCAATGCACAAAGTTATGGACAGAGCACACTTCACAACCAACACACAATATAAAAGCATTCTTTTCCACTACACATCCCAGAGGCAACTAAAAAGACAATTTATGAATACCATCTGCTTCTAGTGCCTCTCCAACAATGTATTAGCAAAATATATTGATTTCGAAAATAGAGGAAAAAGTCTTACTCTGCTATATCAAGATATCCACAGGAAGCAGCTGCATGCAGAGGGATCCAGCCTTCATTATCTGGTTGATTAATATTTGCTCCATTTTCCACCAGAAATTTCACCATATCTACGTTATCATCTATACAAGCCTACAAAGAAAGAAAGAGTTAAGAAGTAAGTTCATATTAAAGCTGTTCTACGATACTGTGCATCTTTAAGCAACATCTTCAGGAGAGAAGGTAAGTATTTCCAGGTTTGATGAGGAAGGATGGTTTATTTGTTGGGGTCTGACAGCAAGACAGGAAAAATTTGAGAGATAAACAGCAGGTGTTTCAAATTTGTAAAACTTTAAATAAATGAATGTAAACAGAGTTTAACAAAACCAAAAAATATTATTTTCTCAGGTACATGCATTCTGATTTTCTGAGAAGCCATTTACCAACCTTGTTCTCTAGTACAAAGAGGTTCCCTTTATAAAGCCCCCAGGTCCTCACTCCATCCCAGGCCCAGCTCAGCCACTGGAGTGGATATTAAAATTGAATAAACCATGCTAACCATGAAGTAGAATTGTGACTAAGAGACAGGGAGTAGTTTGGAAACAATACCATAATGTGGTTTCAACTGTAATACAGTTGAGACTAAGGAGTATGAAGGGGATGCTACATTGTATTTCAACATCCCCCTGCTGTTTTCTAATGCAGCATATTCTATACCACCATAAATCTTTTAACAGTCTATTAATCATCCCTGTTTATAAAACTTACTTGAGTATCAATTTGGCAATTGCAAAAATATTATCATATCTGCACATCTCTTAATTACCAAGCAAACAGTGTTGCCCAGATGCAGAACTACAGCCATTCTGCAGACCTCCATCTTAACTGACTCCTATTTTGCATTTCTTCTCTGTGTTCAAGTATTTTTCTCACAGGGTGCTCAGTGAGTTTTCTTGCCAACTTCCATAATGCTGCCCTTAAAAGGGCAGAGCAACTGAGAGAAAAGTCCCTCTGCATCTCAGGACAGCAAGAACTCCAAACAGCTAGACCCCACAAGACTGGTATTAACTTTTTAGCTTAATAAATCAACAATCTTACATAGCCAGAAGGCTGAAATAAGAACTTTACTCCTGGGCTCCTAAATCCTTCTAGAGAATTATGCCTCTAATTAAATGCAATTAAGGTATAAATTTTACTTTCCAGTATACTTCTAAGAAGACAAAAAATTACATACTGCTTTACTAAGGAAAAAAAAAACCTTCAGATTTCTTTATTTAAGCAATTGGACATTTCAAGATGAATCCTGAAGCTTTCCTTCATTCTACAATGTTGAGGCAACAGCTACACTGATGTATTGCTGCCCAGTTTAACCAGCCAAACAAAACCAGCAACAAATCATCCCTCTTTGACCCCATTTGTTTCAGTTAGGTATGAACTTCAGGCTTTGTTTAGAATGTAACATAGAACTGTTTTAACGAGTCTCATCTGGACTTTTTCACTCAGAAATGTGCAGCTCGACTGCAGTACATCGCTTGCATTATTTGTTTTTCAGTTAAATACAAAACCACATTCTGGAGTGAAAACATTCAGAAACCTTCCTACCTACAGGTATTTTTGAAAACTGTCTTGGAAACGTTTTAGTCATATCCATCCGTAAATCAGCAATTCTTTTAATAAAATAATTTCTTAACATAGTCCAACAATAAAGACTACAAATTCATCAAGCATATTGCCTTTAATTTCTTCCACTTATCATCAGTGTACAATGCTTATACACTAGTAACAAGCTTGAAAGAAGAGAATCGCCTCTTGTTGTAAGACATTGGGTTACTTAAATGAAAGGGAATCAAATGCAAGACCATAAATCAGTTCAGAAAGAAAACAAATTCAAGAAGCTCAGATGTTTACACTTAACAGAAACACTAACCGAGCCATATGTCACACATGCCACATGTCCATCTTTTTCTGGATATCCAGTTTGCCTGACCACTGATATTCTATATCTATAATAATATTCACCAGTTAATTATAAGGAAAAATAAATTTCTATCAGAAACATTTTTAAATTTAGATATTTTAATATGCTGCATACTTGTGTATCTTAAAATCCTCCAGAATTCATCATCTGTGAAAACAAGGATATCTTAGAATTGATTAGCACTACTGAAAAAAAAAACAAAACCAAAACAAACAAACAAACAAAAACAACCCCAAACCAACTAATTGTGACACAACCCAACACAGAAGAATTCTTGTCTGTTTTTTCAAATATACATAAGAAAACCTGGCAAGATATACTCATAAAAATGCTGTTGCTAAGTGAATCAAAAGCTTGCATATGCAGCACATTAAAAGACATATGACTAAGTGGCTAAAAATATTTGACCAAATTTGGGCAGTTTATTGTGCCATACATGGCAAGAATCAGAAGAGCTCAAATACACTTCTCATGTATTATCAGATAGCACACTCATAACAAGAAAAATATTTTATTGAAAACTTACTGAGGCCTCCAAAAAGGTAATATCTATCTTAAGACGAAGAAAAGCAAATACAACTGATTCTGTTGCTGAAGAACACGTATATAGTGTATCCTTTTCTTCATGTCCCCTTTTTCTCCTTAACAGCATCCCAGGCAGGTGGTTTGGCAGCCCCTATCAGTCTCAGCACTTTCCATACGAAAGGCACCTCTGACTATCAGTAGGTATCTTAAGTCAGAAAGCCAAGAAACAAATGTTATAAAAGAAATTTTATCTCAATGTTTTTCCATTTCTACTGCACTGCTCACTTCTAAAAGCAATATTTATCAAGTGTCAGAAGTGCCTCTTGTTAAAGACTGACACCTCAGCCACAAAAGGAAAGTTTGTCAGAGCAGCATGATAAACTTAAAGCAACAGCCTCCAAATAGTCTGCCCTTCTAGACCTCAACTTCAAAGATATTACAAAGGAAAAAGCAACGTACGTGCAAGATGTAAATAACAAGTGTTCCACTGATGTTAGAGTGATTCAAAAAGATAAATTCCCACCATTATTTGTCCCAGAATCTGCACAGAGGACAGACAACTGTGGGCTTTCCTCTTCCACATGTTACAATCCTTTCAGGATTCATCTCATTTCTTAGAGCTCATCTCCCCTCATTCCCAGTCTCTCCTTTCATGGTCAATAGTTCCCACTTCGAGCCTCAATTACCACTTAGCAGAACAACAGGTCACCCTAAAGCTCTTTTTGAGTGCTTGCAAACCACATCTATAGAGCACACACACCAGCCAGCTCCTGGGGCAAGCAGAACAGGGGAGCTCACACACAAGATACCCTTCATCCCATGCACTGGTTTCTGTCTCTCATCCCCAGCCTCCACCAGCTGGTAGAAAGGCAGCATTTCTGCATGAAGCACTCATTCCCCTGCCAAATTTGATCTAAGTTAGCCAGTGATACCCAAATACAATGACAGTTGCACGATGCAATCATATAAACCTTTTTTCATCTGGGAACCAATTTAGAAACTAAGCTAATCAGTCATAAAGGAAGCAAAACAAAGCAAAGTTGAGAATACAAAGTCTAGTTACCTTTTCTGATAAGAACAGAGATGAAATGTCAAAAGAAATATATTAAAGTCCAGGAAAAAAAACCACTTTCCATTTGTACAATAACATGAAACCTGGACTGCAAATACCAGCAAAGATCAGCAGCTCCTGGCTCCCACACAGACCAGTCCTAGATAGGCCCAATTTATGCTGGGGACAACATTTTAACCTTTTCCCATAAATACTCTAAAGTGGATAACCAGATACCTGTTAAACACGCTAGACTTTTAAGTGTATTCACCATGACTTCATATCCCAGTGCAAGTGGCATGTGATACAACTGGCTCTCATTACAATCAGGTGTTAAGAACACAGGTGAAGGGTAGACATAACTGAGTAACTTTAAAAATAAACAGCTTTAAAAGAATACCAAAAGGGCTTGGTTCTTCAGCCAAAGAATACAGCAGATAGCACTCCTCCCCAAAAGACAGGAAAAACAAGTCTGTAATTATTTTTTAGAAATCAGGAATCTTGTAGGGAAGGAGACCATCAATCAGTTAGGCTACTGTCCCACGCACACACAGCAGAGCTATACAGTATGTACCTTATGCGGGGCTACAATTTTTACTGCTTTTCATTACTGGTAACATCTAATGAGGTAATGGCATCTAATGAGGTCTAGACATTTGAGTTTTTTACCAACAAATTAGGTCACGAAATATTAGGATTATTACACTTATTTACTATTCAAGTAACAATACAAAAGCAGGTATTTTAAAATGGCCAGGTATTCTATTTAATATAGTACATACAGGGCAGAAAGGCTGCTGTTGATGTTCACATTTACGAGTAGAAACAGGAGAGTTTTGGTGTTGTAACAGAATTTCAGGTACTAATTTAATATTACAGATGACAAATGTTGCTTAATAATGAAATTAAGTGTTCATTTAGACAAACCACAAGTCAGAGCTTCTATTTTTCAGTGAGCTGGGGTAATACCTGATACCTCGCCTACTGCCAAAATCTAGTTTTAGGATTGAATATTTTACTTTATTAAAGCATGCTTTCTAATAAAAATGGAACAGTTTACAGTGCAAATATTCTTGTTAAACTAGTAACATTACTGTTTAGCTAGACTAGTATTATTTTAATTAACTTCTTTGTAAATATTTTGTGTATGTTGCACTTGTGTGTTATTTTCATCTAAGAATGGCCTACTATTTAAAATACTGGAGAGTTGGTCCATAAAAAGGAGTTAAAATTACAGTTGCCATACCAAATAACTCAAGCTCCCAAATCATTTCAAGAGCATCTCATGGCCTCTGCCAGTTCCAGCATTTCAAGTTTACTGTTTGTATTTCTCTCACCCCAGAACGTGAGTCAATCTTGGCATAACTTTCCATGTCAAAGGCTTTCCTCCACTGCAGGGCAGCAAACTCTTCTCCAGAGAAATTTCTCAAAACATTTCACTTTTAAGTGTAGAAAATGAGAATCATTTTAGACACCTGCAAAAGCAGGTGAAAAAGACACTTTCTCCTAAGGAGAAAGCACTGCTTGAGCCTGATGCAATGTTTCATGCCCATTCAAGTCTCATGGGGAAGGCATGCAGAGACTATGAAACTGAGCACC